GTCAGCCTGTGGGGCAGGGACGAGCCGGGACTGCGAAAAGTTCCCAAGAGAGCAAGGGACCAAGAGGGACCTGCGCGAGAAGCCAAAGCGCGGGGACGCCCCAGCATTGCCAGAAGTGCTCGTCTGAGGAGAGCGGCTAGCCCGAGAGCTTAAAGCCAAGCAGGTGAAGGGATAGCCCGGCTGCCTGGATTCGCCCTCCCTGAGACAGGTGAGCCTGCAGGAGCACTTTCACTAGCACCCACCAAACCCCTTGCTGCCCGGCTTGAAGAAGGATGAGAGCTGATGAGCAGGTGGCCCAGGGCCTCCTCCCCAGGAGGAAAGTCCATGTGTCAGCACTGGAGGGAGACAGGGGTTCCTGCAGTGAAGCAGGACAAGGGTGCAGTTAATTCAGGCAGGGAACAGGAAGGGTTAGACATAGGGACACTACACTGTCCCTGAGATCCCTGAGGTGGTCAGGAAGAACTTGGGGTCCTGTCTGCCACCCCCCAGTCCCCTGCTGGATGAGGGATATGTGCTCAGAGGAAGCTTCCTCCACCACCCCTGCGGCTCTGGGAGGTGGGAGTCACTTCCTGATGGCCCCCACTGTCCTTTGCTGGATAACAGAAGGTCTGTACCACCTTCCTGGCATCACCTAAGGTGAGGCAGACAGGGAGCTCAGTGCTCAGGACACAGGAAGGTCAGACACCTCAGCTGGTCAGCAGCCTCTTCTCAGTGCACCCAGGAGGCCAGGCACCCCAAGGCCAGCTAGGAGCCACCCCCAGCTGGGGCACAGTATGTGCCCACCTTAGAGATGGTGACGGTGACATCTGGCTCCAGTGAGGTCCGTAGGCCTTTCCCCAGCTGCCCTTCAGGACAAAGCTTCCTTCCTGCAGGCCCTGGATCACCCACCCACCTCGCCACATTCTGCAGAGCCGCCTCTGCACGAGGCTGACGGGTGCGTCACCACCACCCTCCAACCTCTGAAAAGGAGCATTCCTTAGGCCTTAAAAAACATGAACAGTGTTCTCCATTGTAGACAATCTGGGACCTTTGCACAAACAAAAATCTAAAAGACCCCATCATTCACCTTTTCCTAACTTTAGCCACTCTCCTGATTTCTTTCCAGACAGCCATTCAGTGTTTTCCCCTCCACATTCAAAATTCTTTTCCTGCATTAGGGACAGAACCCATAACCCCATGCATGCAAGGCAAGGTCTCTACCACAGAGGCACAGCCCACTCCCTATATACAGAGTTTCATTTATTTGCAATATTGAGGCATGAACCCAGAACGCAAGGCTTCACGCTAAACTACCTCCCTGGCTCCTTCCTTCCTTTTGAGACAGGATCTCACTGTTTTGTTAAATTGCCCAAGTTAGGCTTGGATTACAGTCTTCCTGCCTCAGCCTCCCAGAGTGCTGGGATCACAGGCACGTATCACCATAGCCAATTCCTTAAGTACATTTTTTAATGGACTCCCCCAACATACTCCACTTTTTGACAGCCACGTCACACAAAGGCCTCCTTGTCAGCGGCTGCCAATCACACCACCTTTATCCTGACAGTGCACACTGCCACATTCTGCTTTGAGGGAGAATCACCTGATGCTTTGGGACATCTGGGTTTTCCCAGTTTCTCTCTGTGGAACTCATGGAGTAATCTGTCTCCACAGATATTTGCACAGGTATCTGATGTATAATGTATCCCCTTGGGATAAATTGCTACAAACAGATTCTGACTCAAAATGCTACAACTCTTCTGACACGTGTGTTTCTGGTGTATTTCTGTTAGGGGCAGGAAACTCAGAATGAGAGAGTCATGCTATATCACGATCATTACAGAGACATTGTAGGACACCTGCCCCTACCTACACCCACTGCTACAGCAGGGAAAGGCCAGAGCCTCTGGAGGTCCCCATGGGTCAGGCCTCCAGCTGCCCCACTGACACATAAAACCAGAACTCAGGTGAGCAAAGCCCCAGCAGGGTGCCTGGTAAACAGGAAGTTACCCCCGAAGTAGAGGAGTGCCCAGATAGACCCCCAGGCTAACACCCTATCACCTACCTGACCTCCACACCTCTCCAGTGGATGCCACAGTCCATTGCAGAAATGGGCCTTGATGGGGGGCCCCTGTCCCTTGGGCCAGATGAGTAAGGAGGCTCCTCATCTCACCCTTGTCGCCACCCTCTGAGCCTGCAGACCTGGGCTCACAGACACTTCAGGGCTGGGGAAGCTGCCTCACCCTCCATGCTTGGTATCCCATGCCCCAGAGAGGGCTGAAGAGCAGCTCCCAAAGATGTGCCCACCTGCACCCTCAGAATGGCACCTCCTTGGAGTAAGGGTCTCTGCAGATAAAGGCCTCAAGGTGAGATCAAAAAACAGGAGGGGCCGGCCAGAGCTGGGGGCTCAGTGCAAATCCCCCACTCCAGGGTGGGTGATCCAGGAAGCCGCAACTCAGTGTGTGTCCCCAGAAGAGACAGAAAGTAGGAACAGCAGCACCTCGAGGGAGAGGTGCCAAGGCACAAGTGGAGGGAGGTGGCTGTAGCCAGGGACTCTGGAGGTGATGCCTGGGGAAAACCTGACGCGCATTCATGGCACAGAGGTCCGCAGAGCTGGGCAGCGTTCACTCAGCAGACATTGTATGAAGCACTGCGCCCCAGACGGGGTGCTTGGCCTCTCTGTGGCTCAGCCCTGGCTTCCCTCCATGACAGCAGACAGAGGTGAGGGGAAAGGCATGGGGCTGGGATGTTCTCCTGGGCTTGTACTCCAGGCAGAGGGGCCTTCAGGCTAATGGGGGCTCCAGAGTTTCTACAGCCATCCTGAGGCCACCCGAGAGTGGGAGGGGTGGGGTGAAGACGGGGTGAGTGATGTTCAGATAGGAGGACATGAGGGACCCAGGCCTGAGCCCGGCACTGTTCTTCAGGACTTAGGGTCTGCTCATAGAGAGTAAGGATGCAGAGTCAAGGCCTCTTCCAAGCTCCCAGCTCATGCTTCGCTTTCTCAAGGGCCACCTGCTACCCCAGCTTGAGCAGCCACCCCTGCAATGCAACTGGAAGCTAAGGACGCTCTCATCTGTCTGGTGCTCCCTCGATAGCAGATTTCAGGGACTCCCACCCTCTAGGGCCCAGCCCCACCCCATCCTGGGGAGCTGAGCACCCTTCTCAGCCTGGGTTCAGGCCTGGGGGTGGGGGGTGAAACTCCTCATGCTGCAGCTAAGGCTCCCTGACACTCCAGCCAATCCTGGGCTGTGCCCAGCACTGCTCCTGGGGTCACTACTCATCCCAGTTCCCAGGCTCTGAGTTGCAAGGCTCAGCACAGGAGGGGCCGGGCCTGGGGGCTCAGTGAAAATCCCCCACTCCAACATGCAGTGGAAGTCTCGCATGGCTCACATAGCAGAGGGGCCTTCCCCACCCCAGGCTCCCCAGGGCTGCAACAAGGCTGGGGAGGGGCTTGGGCAAGGTGGGGTATCTCTGCCTGTGCATCTGTCTCCCCATTTCACTTACGCAGTTTGTCTGTCTCGGGGTACTTTTTGTTCTCCTTCTCCCCCTCTCCCTCTGTTTCTCTCTGTCTCTCTCTGTTTCTCTTGCTGGTGTTACTCTGCCTGACTCTGTCCTGTGTCTCTGTAGGTGGGTGTCTCTGTCTCTCCATCTGTCTCCCCTGGTGTCCTGCTCATCTGTCACCATCCCCCTCTCTCGCACCAGCCACTCTTGGTTTCCTGGGTCAGAGTAGGGAAAATGTGCAACTGTGGCTTCTTCCCCTGGAGAGATCTACTGGGGCTAGGGTACCCTTGGGGCAGTACCCAAGGCCCACCCCACAGCCTGTGACACCTGTCAGAGCCTTGGCTCTGGGCTGCCTGGAGACATCCTGCAGGCCCTGCGTTGGAACCCAGCACAATGAATGTGGGCCTTGGTGCATCAGCTGCGGGGCAGGGCAGAGGTTGCAGGCAGACCTGGGTTCTTGGGGCTGAGCTGCATCCCACCCAGCTGAGATGGCTGGCGGGTTCCCTTCCCAAACCCACTCTTCAGCTCCCCAAGGGCCTGTGAGGCTGATGGACTCTCCACAGGAGGAGAGGCACCGAGGCAGGAACACAGCCAGGTGCTCTCTGAGCTCCCCACCTGCAGCTGTCCTGCTCAGCATGCACGTATCACTTGTCCTTGGTCATCCCTGGGACCTTGAAGGCTCTGTGTGTAGTGACCTGCCCAGGGCACCCAACCGAGACCACCCCCTAGGATCTGGGAGTCCCTCCCCTGTGATCAGCAGGAGGGCCCAGGAACGCAGAACCAGCAGAGCAAGCCTAGCACATGAACTGCCTGACCACACCCAGCCTTGCCCGAGGGCCGCCAGCTTTGTGGCCACACAAGGTCACAGAACCCAAGGTCTAGCAGCTTTGTCCAAGACCTCAGGACCTGGGTGGGAGAGGCTACTTTGGGGCTGGGGATTTAGCTCAGCGGCATAAGCACCTGCCTTGCAAGCAGGCGGTCTCGTGAGTTCGATCCCCGGTACCGATAAAAATGAAAAAGACAAAAAAAGAAAATAGAGGCTACTGAAAAAGGGCAGAGTTTTGGGGGGAGCCAGAGTCAGCTGAAGTGGCCTGGACATCCCAAGCCAGCACCTCCACGGTCCACACCAGAGCGGGGTGAGGGAACACAAGGAGGCTCTTCCTGCACCGGGGCCAGTGGCTCCCAAACCTCCCTCTCTTCCCATCCCGCCCGCCTTCCTCCTTACCCACATCCCTGTCGCCCTCCAGCTCTCTGGAGTGCCCCATCCCAGCCCCACCGTGTTCTCCTGGGCCCAGCCCCTGACGGTGACCTGCTGAAGGCTCCCTGGCCCTCCCTCCCTGCTTCACCAGTACGCTCCACCCCAGATGCCCCCCCCCTTGTTCCCAGGCACTCTGACTGCCCCCTCCCCTCGGCACCGTCGCGCCCTGACCCCTCCCTGCTCCAGGACGACTCCCACCCACTGTCAGTCGCACAGCTGCTGCCTCCAGGCAGCCCTCCTGCCTCCCGCCTCCATCTGCAGTTACCTGGTCAGCGGCTGCATGTAGCAGGGGCTGGGTGGGGACGGTGCCACATTGGTCCCTTCTTGTCAGCACATGGTGGATGCTCAGACCATAGTGGGCACCCAGCCCCGGCAGCTGCCGCTGCTTATCCCAGCATCACCCGCATGCTCCTGTCTGCACACACCCAGCACACACGCGCAGACGGCTCCCTCTGTTTACACATGCGTGCATGCACGCACACACACATACACGCGCATGCATGTACACACACAGAAACATGCATGCCCCTGTCACCCATCCCTACCGTGCTACCCCAAGTCCTCGCTGGCCACGCACGTGTCACAGCCAGGCATGCCCGCTCACGCCGTCCTGAAACGTCACTCCAACAGGCGCCTGGAGCTCAAGAGCTGCTGGCTGCCTCTGCCTGCCAGCATTTGCCAAGCAGTTTCCATGGCGACGTGTCTTGGCTCTGACAGGAACTGATGAGTGTGGGGAAGAGGGTCCCCTCAGAGGGGGCAAGATGGGAGGTCTCTATGTCCTCAGCTCCTGACACACATGGGGGATGCCCTAAGTAGAGACCCACTATATCCCAAACTAGCCTTGCATCCCAAGGTTTTAGGACTGCTCCTCTGGGATGCCTGATACAGAAGCTGATTTAGGTCATTTGGTCATTCAACAAACCCCTTGACATGGCCACTCCAGGCTGGTGGTTGAGGCTGCAAGGCTGCTCAGGATGCACACTCACAAAAGGCTTGAGTCCTGAGGCTGAATCAATGACTTCACCATCTCACTGGAGGCCTGGTCACAGGGAGAACATCAGAGACCCCTTAAGTACTAACCTCCCCTCCCACTGCCTCCTCAGAGTTGGATCCATGGGGTGAGGATGCGAAGCAGACTGCTAAGTGATCCCAAGTCTCTACCCTTCCAGTCAGAGGTTCTTCTCAGAGGTAGAGTACTTAGCCAGTGAAAGTTACAGAATGGTCTGCACTTGGGCCTCAGGAGATGTTCATCCTCTGCCTGTCATCTCAGACTCTCAGCCTGGGCACTCTGCTGGATAGGGAGGGCAGTGAGACTGTCCTCACTCAGGCCATTTTGGGCCAGCCAGCTTCCACCAATCCACCAGCCAAGGTCAGCCTCACCCAGCCCAGGGCTGCAGATGCCTGAAGGCCCATTGACCCTGTGGAAATGGTAAGTGCAGTTATTCCAGCTGTCCTGCTTTGGGCTAGTTGTTATGCAGCACTAGTTAACTGATACATGTTCTTTCTAAGGCTCAGGCCAGCAGCCACTCAAGCTCACACAGCACTTACTGAACGCCTTAACAGCTCCCTAGGGATGCTGAGAACCTGACCAGACTAGGGCTGGTGTCTGGCCCTTCTGGCTGCCAGTGATATGACCTGGACCAGATGGGTTAAGGGCTTCCCATTTCAAGCTCATGGTATTAGCTGTTAGAGCAGAAGTACAAGTCTTCCTTCGTCTCAGTTTCTCTACCTGTGAAATGGGCCCACACTCCTGTCCTGCCCCCTGGGGCCAACTAGTAAGGCAATGCCCATGTTGCTATATAAAGTTCTCCTAAGGTGATGATTATTAAATATTTTACCCAGGTGATGGTTATTAAATATTTTATCCAGGTTTTGGGCTGTTCTGTTTTCCACTAGGGATTGAACCTGGGGCCTGGGCATGTCAGGCAAGCAATCTGCTACTGAGCTACAACCCAGCATTTTTCATTGTTTGCAAAGAGATGGTTGCTCCAGACAAACTAGCTTTTCACTGGAAAGTGAAATCTGCATAGCAACAGTGCTGATTCATGTTGATTGGGTGTACTGATCAATGTCTATCCCGATTGGTCAGTGCCACCTTTTGCCCAGAGAGTGTTGGCCAATACCAGCAAACCTGGGCTCTGGTTTTAGTGACCTCCAGGGACAGGAGGGTGGGAAATTCAGGCCAGCACCACCCTATTATAGAAGACCCTGCTCCCCACCTTAGACAGCAGGTGGTCTAAGGGGCTGTCCTCTTAGGGTGTGAATGAATCCAAATTTACCCCACTCCTCATTCTCCCCTAAATCTCAGGTTACTAGAGTTGTTTTTAGTTGGGGTTGTTGTTTCAGTACTGGGGATTGAACTCATGGCCTCACACTTACCAGGCAGGTATTTGTGCCACTGAGCTATATCCCCAACGATAGAATCTTTTTGGCGGGGGGGGGGGGTGCTGGGGATTGAATTCATGACCTTGCGCTTGCCAGGCAGGGCTTGTGCCGCTCAGCTAATCCCTAGCCCACAGAGTTATGATACCAAGAGGGACAAAACAAAAATGGGGGGAAATGGTCCTGAGAAGTCAGAGACTCAGTGATGGAGAGCATTGTGCTGTCAGTCAGGTCTGGAGCACTTTCTAGGAGTGATGCCCCAACTGACTCCTCCCTAGTTGGATTCACCCCATCGGAGACATTGAGGAACCCCACAGGACCTTTCAGGGGAGCAGCATAGTTAAAGACAACCAAGAAGCTGAGCACAATGGCACACACATGTCACCCCACCACCATGGGAGGCTGAGGCAGGAGGACTGCCAGTACAAGTTGAGCAACTCAGTGAGACTATCTCAAAAAAAAGCTGGGGGTGTAGCTCAGTGTGACGGTCCTGGGTTCAATACTCATGAGAGTGAGAGGGCGAGATCTCAAGAACACAAGGAAACTGCACTGCAAGGCTGCAGGTATTGGGTTGGCACTTGGCCTCACGGCCCCAGAATGCTGTGGTTGGGCAGGACCATAAGGCCATTTGTACTTCTGAGATGTCTCTTATTCATTTCAATTGGCCTGTTTTGACTGGGTCTTTTGAGGCAGGGGCTAAGTTTCTGAGCCCTTTATATATTGTAGGTACTCATCCTCTAAGGAGCAGCTGGCAATTGTCTTTCCTCATGCAGTAGGCTGTCTCTTCATTCTGTTGTTTCCTTTGCTGGGCAGCTTTTTAATTTGATGTACTTCCGTTTATTGATTCTTGATATAATTTCTTACGCAATTGAGGTTCTGTTCAGAAAGTCCTTGCCTGCAGCTATGTCTTCTAGTTTTACCTATTTTATTTTCCAGCAGATTACAGTGTTTCTGTTTTCGTACATCTCTGATTCATTTTATTTTAGTACATGGTAAGAGAGGGGTTAGATTCAACCTCCTGCCCGTAGATAGCCAGTTTTCCCAGCACCATTACAAACACTGTATTCGCTTTGGCCTGTTTTGGCCCCTTTGTCCAAGAGCAGTAGCCAGGTGTGGTGGTGCACACTCATGCTCCCAGCATTCAGGAGGTTGGTAGGAGGATCGCTGCAAATTCAAGGCCAGCATGGGCTTTGTAGAGTTCAAGGCCTGAACTAGTAGTAAAAGCCTGTCACTTTTTGTTTTTGAGTCTATGTAGTTGAAGCTGCCCTTCAACTCCCTATGTAGTCCAGACTGACCTTGAACTTGTGAAATCCTCCTGCCAGAGTCCCACAAATGAGATTACAGGCATGCACCATCACACCTGGCCAGAGATTGTCTCAAAGAAAGAAAGAGGGCCAGGATTTAGCTCAGCTGCTCAAGCACTTGTCTGATAAGCACAAGGTCATGGGTTTGATCCCCAGACTAAAATGAAGAATTAGCATGGCTCAATGTGCCTGGGGTATTTCTGCATGTTCTATTCTGCTCCATTCTGTTTTTGTGCCAGTACCCTGCTGTTTTTATCACTGTAGCTTTGGAATATAACTTAAAATCTAGGCTTGTCATGCTGCTATTTTCTTTTTATTTCCCAGAGTACTCTTGCTATTCTAGGTCTCTTTTGATTCCATTTTAGAATTTATTTTTTTTATTTCACTAATTCTGAGGAATGCTGTTGATAACCTGATTGGGACTGCACTGGGATCGCACCATCTATCAGCTCTGGTGGTGTGGCTATTTTCACAATATTGGTTCCACCTATCCAGGCATAATTTGAATGTTTCCTTTTACCGATGTCTTTTTCTCTCTCCTTTTTCAGACTACCACAGTTTTTGTTATAGAGGTCTCCTACTATTTTGGCAGGCTAATTCCTGTTTACTTTTTCTTGAAGTTATTGTGAATCACACTGTTTTGCTAATTTCATTCTCAGTGAGTTCATTATTGTTATACAAGAACTTACTGATTTTTGTGATTTTGTATCCTGCTATTGTATTTTGTATCCTGATTTAGTATTTGTTAGTTAGTGATGCCAAGTATCTTTTCATATACTAATGGCTTCTTTGGGGGAAAAAAGTCTTTGCTTATTTATTTATTTATTGTATTTTTCATTTTTATCGGTATCAGGGATCAAACTCACGACTGCCTGATTGCAAGGCAGGTGCTTATGCCGCTGAGCTAAATCTCCAGCCCCAGTCTTTGCTTATTTTTTAATGAGTTTATTGTAGTTTTTTTGAACTCAGGACGTTGCATTTGCCAGGAAGGCACTTATGCCACTGAGCTTACCCCAGCCCTAGGCTGTTGTATTTCTTCTTGCTACGGAGTTGTGTGAATTTTTTATACATCTGGATATTACAACTCCTATTAGCTCTATGGTTTACAAACACACTCTCCTCTTCCATGGACTGTATCTTCATTGTGTTGTCTTCTTAGCAGTGCAGATGCTGTTTAAACTAAACTCCATCAATCTGATGGAGTTCCACCACAAGGTGTTTTTGCAGTTGATATTGTGTGCAAGACACTATGTCAAGACTAATGTCAAGGAACTGTTTCTGTTCTCTCTTTTCTGCCCGCTCCGATCCTCATCCTGTGGTACTGGTGATTGAAACCAGATCCTTATCACTGAGGGTATACCAAACCCTTTTTTTTTTAATCTGTTTGAGACACAGTTTCACTGTGCAGTTCAGGCTGGCCCTGAACTCGCTTTGTAGTCCAGACCGGCCTTAAACGTGCAGCAATCCTCTTGCCTCAGCCTCCCAAGTGCTGGGATTACAGGCAGGTACCACCATGTCTGGCTTCTTCTTTATTTTTTAAAACAAGGTCTTCCCTAAGTCATTAAATTGTCCAAATCTAGGATTTAACTTCCAATTCTCCTGCCTCAGCTTCCTAGTGCTGTAATTACAGGCATGTGCCACCACCACCCTGTGTTTTCTTTTAGAAGTTTTATGGTTCCCAACTTATTTTATAAGGCCAGTATTAGCCTCATTCCAAAGCCAGATAAGACCACCACAAAAAAGAAAATTACATACCAGTATCCCTGATGAGTATAGATAAAAAATCTGCAACTGAATATGAGTCAACAGAGTTCAACAGCACACTAGAAGGATCATGGGAATGATCAAGTGGAATTTATTTCTCAGAGCAAGGACAGTTCAATACATATAAATCAATAAATGTGATACACATGAAGTGAATGACTAAAAATTACATAATCCTTTCAGCAGATGCAGAAAAAGCACTGGACAATCAACGCAATAAAAAAATCAACAAACTAGGTATAAAAGTATACTCAATGTCCTTAAGGCCAAGCCCATAACTAACATCATACTTCACAGTAAAAAACTGAAAGTTTTCATATGAGATCAGGTCAAGGAAGGGTACCCACTCACACCACTTCTGTACCATGAGTGCAGAAATCACAGCGAGAGTGACTAAAAAGAAAATACAAACAACATCAAACCAGAGAAGAGAATAATAAAATTTTCTGTTCACAGATGACATGATTTTCTATACAGAAAATCCTGAAGACTCCACCACAAGACTGATAGGATAAATGAATTCAGGAAATTTGTGGGACAAAAAAAAAAAAAAAAAAAAAAATCAATGTAGAAAGATCAGAAATGTTTCTACACACCTATGACAAATTCTCTGAAAAAAGAAATAAAAAAGATTCCATTTCAACCAAAGAGATAGAAGTAAAAAGAACTAAGGTATGTTATGTATATGTACCAACTCCCCACAGTGGATGTAACCATTATGTACTGCAAACATATATCAATAAAAATTGAAATAACAATTTTACTATTATGGAGCTAAAAACATATAATTAAGAAAAAGTATTCCACTTAGAATAAAACAGAACATAGTAGTGCATGTCTGTAACCTCACTTACTTTGGAGACTGAGGTAGAAGATCTCAAGTCGGCCCAGCCAGCTTAACAAGATTCTGTCTTAAAATAAAAAGGGCTGAGGATGTATCACAGTGGTAGAGCACCGATTTCAATCCCCAGTAACACACACAAACACACAAAGAAAAAGAAAACAGAATAAAGTATTAGGAATAAATTTAAGAAGATGAAAATGCTGAGATAGGGGTGAAGGAAACCAACATGACCCAAATATATTAAAAATGCCCCGAGTTCCAGGGTTGAGATCAGTAAGTGTCAAAATGGCCACACTCCCCAGTGTCCCACAGACTCAATGCATTTCTACCAAAATCTCAAACTATATATATACATAAAATTTTTTGGTACCAGGGATCGAACTTATGACCTCGTGCTTGCAGGGCAGGCATTTATGCCACTGAGCTAAATCCCTAGCCCTCAAACAATGCATTTTAACAACAACAGAAAAAGCAATCCCAAAGTTCATTTGGGGCATATGCACTATGAAAGACTGCAAGTAACAAAGCAATTCAGAGGAAGGAGAGCAGAAGCTGCAGGCATCATGCTGCCTGCTGTCACTGTCCACTACAGAGCGAGCACTGCATCAATGTGGGATGAAGAAACACACATGGAGCAGGGGCAGGCAGGGAGCCCCCTCTCTGAGGGGTCACAGATCCACCAAGGGGCACACGGAGCACACAGGGGCAGGAGAGGAAGGCTCTGCTCAATGGGAAGGAGGGACAGCTGACAGCCACGAGCAGAACAGAACTGGAACTTGGGCTTAAGCCACAGGTAAAATTGTCTTGGAATGTTTTACGTAGAAAATGAGCTATTTCTTTTAATAGTTCATCAAAACATGGGGTTTTCTAATCTGTTGGGGGTTCCCTTGTGAAGCCAGTCCTGGTCGGAACCACAGGCACATCATGGCCTCAGTAGCAGTCAGCCACATTCTCCTCCAGCACAGCCACCGTGGCCAGCATGTCTTGCAGGAGTGACTGTGGGCTCTTCTCCACGTGGTCGCTGCTCTCAGCCAGCCTGCCCTGGAAGCCCTCCAGGTCCAGGGACCTCAAAGCAGCCAGCAACTCCTCAGGCTCCAGATTGCCCAGGGGCTGGCTCTGCTCGCCTGCCTGCCACCTGTGTAGCGTGGCCTCCACAGATGTCACATCAGAGCTGTTCCCAGGCTCCTGCAGGCCACTACAGGGAGCAGTCTTCTCCCTCAGAAAGAGAAGAAGGTCACAAGCCTTTTGGGCCACAGGTCGATCACAGTCGAACAAAGCACGAAAGGCAAAGTCAATGATTTGCAGCTGGCAGAGAGTCCGCAGCACCTCAGGGAGTGGGCCAGGTGGGGTGACCTTAGGCAGGGTTACCGCATAGGGACAGTGGGGATTGGGCTGCCCCAGTGTCTGCACCAGGAACACCCGCACCAGCTCCAGACCCTGTGCCCGGACTTCCCAGTCCAGGTCCTGGCTCACCATCTGGAGAACAGTAGCTACAAACCATTCTGTGTCCCGGGCCACATCTGCATGGCTGTCCCTCAGCCACTCAGTGAAGACTCGGACAACTGCCCTTCGCGGGAAGCCCTCTGAGTCCATAGACAGGATATGCAGGAGCTCCCCTATCAGGCCCTGCAGGACCAAGAGTGGGAAAGTTTGTTGAGCAGCTCAGGGACCTGAGCGCACATGGCTGGGTCACCAGCTTGGGCTGCATGCTCCTCAGCTCTGTCATGATGTGCGCTGACACATGCAGCCCTTAGCCCTGGGCTCACTCCCATGTAAATGGTGTTACCAAGTCCCAAGCACTTTTGAGGTCACTTCTGCCAGCACTGCCCCAGACTAAGCCCTAAGTAGTTGCTCTGGACCTGGCTGGCCACCCATTCACCGCATGAGCCACACACAGCCTCCCAGGGTGGGCACGTGGCTGGGGACCCCATCCCTTCCTACCTACCCCACCCTCCTACCTGCTGGACTTCTGGATGCCCAGGGCTTTCGGAGACAGCTTCCAGGCCCTGGCTGGAGAGCTGCCCCATGGCAGTCACAGCACTTGCACGAACGTAGCTCTCAGGGTCTCGGAGGAGCTGCCAGGTAAGCTTGGGTACCTCAGAAGCAAGGAGCGCTTCCCTGAAGTCAGCCTCTCCTGCATATCAAAGGATGTATGACTACCACTGCTAGAACTGCTCAGGTGGCCCACAAGCCCCTCATCCCTGGTACCCACCTCCCCAGCAGGCAGTCAGATGTGTCAGGAACTCCAGGGCCGAGTCCCTCACCTCCCAGCAGGGGCTGCACAAGCGCTTCTGCAGCACAGGGAATAGCTCTGGGCCAGAAGGGGGCAGTCAGAGTGGTCTCTAAGCCACCTCCCCTTCCCCTTAGTGCAAGCTACCTCTACCCTACAGCTAATACTCAGGATACTGCACAAAAGGTCAGGGTTACCTCTGAGGAACAAGGGGGCATGTGGGCCAAGGTCCAAACAGCTGGAGGGTGAGGGTAAGTCCAGAAGCCACCTGAGGGTGGCCTGAAAGGCCTTCTTCAGAACCTGCAATGGGCAAGTGGGTACAGGGGCTACAGAGCAGAAAGGCAGGCTCTCCACCCACACCACTGCTTGCCCCAAGGAACGGTAGGGAGAGCCCTTGCCAGGTGCCCTGTCTGCCCTGTACCAAGGCATGACAAGCTCTCTGGGGTACCTCTCCGTGAAGGCTCAAGAATCCCCAGGCCCTTCTGACAAACCCCTGTAGCATGTAGCACTAAGTCTGTAACCAGTGGAATGGGCATGTTTTTAGGACTTTGGATCCCTGAATTGCAGCTGTCCTGGCTCAATTCCCTTCTGAAATTCACCAAAGGATGTGTACACTGCCCCTGTTCACCATAGCACCGCAAGTTCCCTCCACATAAGCACCCCCCCCTCCCCCGAACCCAGGCATCTGCCTCATTTCCAGTGGCAGCTCTGGGGCCCCAGGTGAAGGGCCCGTTCCAAGAGGCCCAAATCAGAAGGGGATGGCTTTGCCTCCCAGAGCTCAGAGCCCAGAGCCTATCCCTGTACCATTGGGCTGGAGGCGGGGCTCTCGAGGGTCTCCAAGAGGACAGCAAACACCTGCGGCATCAGCTCCCGGGAGCCTGGGACACACATGAACGTATGAGTCACCCCAGGAGCCCCCTTCCAGCAGGGACTATGCAATCCAGCCTGAGGGAGCAGGGAAGGTGGCTAAGTACAAGCCTCAAAGTTCCTAGCAAGCTCAGCACAGAGAGAGAAGGGAGCCAGCCCACCCAACACCTCAATCACTCACTCACTTATTCCCTGAGACAGTGTCCCTAGGAAGTCAAGGGCTGCTCGCTGGACTCGACTGCAGCCTGCCAGGGCTCCACAAAGACGGCCTCCCTCACTGGAGCTGGGGACTGCTGAGCCATCACAGAGCTGCAGGATGATCACTGCAGCTTCCACCAGGAGTGTCTGGGGCCAGGGCGAGGGGCGCTGAGGCTACAGGAGAATGGGGGGGTCAGAAGAAGTCACGACCCTGGTGTCTACTTGGCACAGGTGGGGCCACACCTACCAGTGGCTGTAGCTCTTCCAGATGGGCCAGAGTCTGGCACAGGAGCCCCACACAGGCCGACTTGGAGGACAGGAGCGTGTCTACCATCATGGAGCTACCCGCACTGGTCTCATCCAGCAAGCCTGCAGGCAAAGTAGAAATAGTCCCTTGTGGTGGTCACTGCCCCAAGCACCAGCTAGGTCCGGAGGTCAAGGCTATAGCACCAAAATGCCAGCCACTTTTACTCTCAGTGGGAGGCTGGGGTGAGAGCAAAGCAGGGACCACAAGCTGGGTACCAGCCACCAGGGACCCAGGCTATGCCCTCCCACACCAGTGTACCTGGGGGTCCAGGAGCCTGAGTAGTGGCTCTCAGGATACAGACCAGGGGCTGGAGGAGGACCCTAAAGGCCTGGGATCTCAGTGCCTGTGGACTGTGGACATAGGACACACATGAGGGCTATTGCACTGGCCTGAGGCAAGCTAGTCACATTGCTAACAACATCCCTACCAAGTCTAGGGCAGATCAGCACAAGCTGGGAGCTAAACACCTCCTGAGAAGCAGCTTCTATGCAGGGAGCCTTGCTGGATGAAGAACAAGCTTAAGGAAGGCTCAGGACTTAGCCATAGTATTCAGCCACTGGGCTTCTGGGGCTCAGGAAGAGATAGTTACACTTACCCAGAGGGGAAAAGCCTGTTCAGGGTCACAGAGAATTCTTGGTTCTTAAGAGCTGAGCCCAAGCTTGCTTCACCTTGTCCTCTATGCACAGTAATGAGATGACCCTTCTTTTCTTTTTTTCTTTCTTTTTTGCTGTGTGTGTGTGGTTACTAGGATATGAACCCAAGACTTTTGCACCAACCTACATCTTTAACTCATCTTTAAGTTTTTATTTAGACACACAGTCTTATTTAAACTTGTTCAGACTGGGCTCAAATTTGTGAGGTCTAGGATTACAACCATGCACCATTCCACCCAGCTCTGACATATTTTTTCTTATGCTCTATAGAAGGATTTACCCTATGGTCTAGGCCCTGGAGTTGGAAGGGTGGTTATGCTACCACAGACTGCTTCGTCCCTTGTTTCCCTGTCCACCCGCCAGCAGGTAGAGGCTACAGAACCCACAGCCAGGCTGGTGTCACAATCCTAGCCCCTCTGGGGAGGTGCTGAGGCCATTTCTACTCCCCAGATGTATGCCTTCCCGCAAGGTTTTCCGCATCCTTCTTCTCTCCAACCCCGGCTCACCCGGGTGTACAAATACCCGTGGGCTCTAGAACTCATGGCCATAGTCACCACGAAGGGTCCAAGGGCTGAAGGTGGATTCTGGCTTCAGCTTATCATCTAGCAGAGGTGTCCCAAGAATAAGCTTTGTCTCTGCGGATCCCATGCAGCTTTTAAAATAATTCTCTGATCACTTAAGAACACCATTCAGCACCAACACCTGGGCCTAACCATTGTGCTGCCCAGCCTTGCCCAGCTTCTTACCCCAAAATTCCCTGAGAATTAGCACCACATTCCCAGAGCCCTGCCTGGGCCAAAGCAACCTGATCATACCAGTGCTGAAGTTTCAGGATTCCTAAGGCCAGAGATCCAGCTTGAGTGGGGCTCAGGCAGCTCAGCATCCGGGCCATAGTCTCCCACAGACCACAGTCTGCAGAAGCAAACACGGGAGAGCTGCAGGAGGGACCCAAAAGAGAAAAATCACTCGGCTATCCCACAAAGGCATGACCAGCAGGGACTGCCATGGCCCCTGCTGGAGGTGCCCATCCCTGTGGATGGCCTTTCCCTGGGTGAGGGGGTCCTCCTCAGGAATACTCCCAAATGGCAGCATTTTTAGGGGCTGATTCCGTGTCTGCCAGTGTACACCCAGGTGTGGTCACTGCTTAGAGAATTCCTGGGAAAATCACCACCCACCTTGGGTGCCCCCCACCATGTCCCGGGGACCTGACCGGGCCACACTGAGGAGGAGGTCCACCAGTGAGTGTGCAGCTGGGATGGGGTCACTCTCCAGCAGGTGGGCTACCAGGGGACTCAGCTGCCCCCAGAGGACCTCTGTCCAGGGGCTGTGGCAGCGCCCAAAGGTGGTGGTGAGGACGTTCAAGGCCTGAGTGACTTGCGGGGCAGCTGTGGAACACAAGCACGCTTCTACATGGTCCACAATCTTCTGGGCACATGCAGGCCAGGCGTTGCCCTGTGAACTGGGGGACCCCGCGGCCTTGCCTTGCATGGACAAAGCCAGGACATGCACCAGGAGCTGACTGGCAGCAGAGGCCACAAACAGGCTGGAGTCTCCCTGCAGGGAGAAGAGGGCATCGACCGCACCTGGGGACCAAAGGGGGATGCATAAAATGGGGATCAACCCAAACAGAGTGAGGGACAGAGAACCACTTTAATCACACCCTTCAGAACCTTTGGGAAAGAGACAGAGAGATGTCAACAACAGAAGGTACCCATCAGACCCCCAATCAACCCACTCGAAAGTAGCCAGCTCTGAGGACTCACTATGGCAAGGTGTGAGCAGCTTAGTGAGCCCCCCAGCTCTGAGGGCCTAACCTGGCAGCCAAGGACATGTCCACCACTGTGGTTACCACATGAGCGTACTACATCAGCTGTGAGCCATGGACATTACCCCCACAGCTGAGAGGACCAGGCTCTGCAGGCACAGGGGTTCCCCTGGGTCCCTCAGCAAGGGACACTTACCGCTGTTGCCCAGGAAATGCAGGCCACTGGGGTGCTGTGCCAGGGATCGCAGGCCTCGAATCCAACCACTGCGGACAGTAGGGACGCTCCAGGCAGCCCAGCTGAGGGGGCCTGCCTCCCCAAAGAGTCCCAGCAACAACTGCCCCTGCTGGGAACCAAAGAAAGGTGGCGGCTGAGCAGGTTTCTGGGATATGGGGCAGATGGGAAACATGTCAGTTTCTCAGGACACAGCTGTGCTTTCAGTAGGGGAGGCTTTCAGTGCCAGTGAGTAGGGCCTGGCACCGCCTGGTCTGCCTTGCAGGGCAAGAGCTTCAGGGAAGAAACTGGCTTCCAGGGAAGGTCTCCCACTCCTGTTGTCACCACTTACAATCTCGCCCCAGGTTTCCCTTCACGTATCCACCCTCCCTGTGGCCTTTAAGGCTGCTCAATCCTACATGCTTCCCCACAGCCTCTGAGCAGAGACTACATGCACCTCCTTTCCAGATATCTCCCACCCTGACTCCTGACTTTTCAGAGGCCCCACACTCTAAGTCATTCATCTGTGCCCAACTCCTGAAACTATTCAAACTGTTCTAAGCATAGGCTCCCAGCCATTTCCCCCATAAAGTTCCTGCTAAGCCATCAGCCAAGAACCTTGCTGGGTGTCATCACACTCCCCTGCCCATGTGAGGAAGAGTCCTGTCACCACTAGATGTTGACAGCCCTGTGGTATCTCTGGTCCTGACTACCTGACAGAGCCCTCAAGTGGCTCAGTCATTCCCTACACCTTGGCAGGCCTGACTAACTTCAGAATAGCAGTCAGCACTGTGCCAGCATGGGCCAGGCCTCAGGTATCTGCATTAGCTACTACCTAGCCTACTAGGGCGGGAAACCTGCCCCCCACTGCAGGCTCCAGGGCCACATCAGGGTCTCAGGATGCAGGCTCTGCCTCTGCAAAGCAGTTCCTGCCTCACATTCCTCTTGGTCCTTTCCTCTGTATTCAACCTTGGCATGATGCAACTTACTGCTACACGTATGCACTCCAACCTGAAGCACTCACTCCCGACCAAGGGGCACTGCTGCTGGCTACTCAAAAGCAAGCCCCTTCCTTGCAGTCCCAATCTTCTAGGGCACAACTCCTAGCCACAGGTGCACAGGTACAGCTACCAGCCTCGGGTCCCAAACTATAGACTCGGCTGATGCTGAGCAGCTGCCAAAGGCCTCAAGCTATCAGGCCACTAGGTCAAGATAGGCAGCAAGGGTAGCAGGCCTGCCCTGTACCATATGCCAGGAGGGGGCTGTGTGTCTCATTCTTAAACACAGTGGATCCACTACCTGTCAAAAGCAGTGAAGCCCCATATACTGCCAGCTTCAGGAGACAAAAAAGCACAGGAAACTGAGGGGAAGTCATGTGTGGCCCCATAGTAGAGCGATGGCCTAGCTCACCCTGGGCTCCACTCTCGGCACCATAAAAACAAAACAACACCTGTGACTGAAAATCTACTTTGGAGAACATATTGTTCTTCAGGGTCCAGCCTAGATTCCCCAGCTCTGTGGCACGCTCAAACTGGGTCCTGGATTTCACCTCCTCAAGTGGAAGACCTTGGACTGATGAGTGAATCATAAAAGTCACTCTCCAAACCCTGCAGTGCTCTGTATGGACAGATGCAGACCACAAGCAAGGGCAGCAGCAGAGTCATATTTACCTCATGGCAGCTGAAGTGCTCAGAATATTCTGGAAAGTCCATCTCATGCCAGGATGGGGCCTGGCTCTTAAAGAGTCTACAGCTGCTAAATGGAGGTCACCTATGAACCCATCTAATGTGGGGAAATGAGCACCCACCAATCCCCTTTCCCTATATGACTCTGACACAGCACAGGGCTCCGTAGGACTCTTGCACTGTATTTTCCCACTGCTTTGAGGGACTCCACAGAGCCAGGAGGAGCCACTACTCTAGTCTGGCAAGAGCCAGGCAGATTTTATTGGGGATCCGTTTGTGGACACAGAAGCCCTCCTGCCCAGGCCTGCAGGCACATGGATTGTCATGGCAGCTTCTGATACAGGCCTCCTCCTCTGCCATGGGAAGAAATTGAGACTCAGAACAAAGACCAAACCACAGGACAGAGCTGAGAATTATCCCACCCAATTCCATCTGATCGCTAAAAATTCTCTCCTCAGCCACAACATCACTCCTGGTAAATATTTCGAAGTGGGTCAACACAGGAGTAGAATACCTGGCAGTACTTGCCAGACTGCAGAGCAGGCCATATCTAAGCACCAGGGACAGGGACGATATCAATGCCTCACGGATCAATCTTGCAGGACACAGGCAGGTGGGTGAGTTTAGGCTTACTTGGAGGTACTCGAAGCAGTCTTCCTGGGCTGCAAATGTTCCGGCCAGGCACAGGGAAAAGGAGAGGACCCTGGGGCTCACATCCTGTGGCTTCAGGTCCAGCACATGGGACAGCAGGTCCACCAGGCATGGGTTCTCCTGCAACAGCAGCAGGCTGGACCCTGGAGAGGCAACCCAGCCCAGAAGACAGTCTCAGTGGTACCCATGAATCCATCAGACAGTAGGGAGATGTGCACCCCACCACTGCCTTCTCTCCATGTGACTCTAACACATGGAGTGCTGCACTCACTCTCAGGATGACCCCACGCCCACCTCTCACGGTGCTAGACTCCACAGTCCAAATGGAAGAATATTTGCAACAAGTGAATCCTGACTTTAATGCATGGGCGGGGGGCTAACGAGACAACAGTGCAGTCACAGGTAAAGGCCAAGGGGTGCAGGCATAGTACTCTACCCTGAAAAAGCATTTGGTTTCACTGACTATGAAAGTGTAGGCACAGTGGTGACATCAGTAATCCCAACCAGCACTGAGTGAGGATGAGGCAAGAGGATCAAAAGTTGGCGCCCAGCCTTAATGAAACTCTATTCCAAAACTAAAAAATACAAGGGATGGGGATGTGGCTCAGTGCAAAGGACCTGGGTTTGATTCCCAGTACCACAATAAATAAATGAGTAAGTAAATAAACAAAAAAGCAATACCGGTTTCACCTGAGAGAGTTATCCCCAAAATACATGGCTTAGTTTCCCACAAGGTTGGGAGTGTCCCCAAGGAGGGCCTTGTGGGAAAGATGACCATAGAGATGCAGTCAGTCACTGGCAAGTCAGCAGTATGAAGGGGAGACAGAAACAGAACCAATAAACACGTGTGGGAGTCTAAGGAAGAACACAGCATAAATCAAAACGTTATAAAAATAAAGTCTATGAAAAATAAACAGAGTTTAAGAAACTAAAAATAAATCATTGTTGAAGGGTCCTGAAAGAAGACTGAATTAAAGTTCTAGAGGGGCTGGAGATTTAGCTCAGCAGCATAAGCACCTGCCTTGCAAGCAGGCAGTAGTGAGTTCAATCCCCAGTACCGATAAAAAGGAAAAAGACAAAAAAAATAAAAATAAAATAAAGTTCTAGACAACAATGATGTGGAGGATTAGAGGATCCAAAGCTAAAGGGCTCTGAGATCCTTAAACTTTTTGGGGTGAGAGATTTCAATCAATTTCAGATTCTTAAAAAATCTAGCTTGAGTGTTAAGTAACAGTGCATAAGGGTGACCAATGGAAAACATAAATAGGATGTGTAACTTCCAAACCAGAAGAGATAAGACTGAAAAGAAAGAAGATTTATCCATTTGCCATAGGCAGAAAAGGAGCCAAGATGGAGGGCCGGGGACAAAATGTAAAAGAATGTGGTAAATTAAGTTCAAAGACAACCTCATGCTGGGTACATAGTGGCGCAAGCCTATAATCTCAGCATTCCAGAGGCTGAAGCAGGAAGATCACTGCAAGCTTGAACTACACAGGGAGTTAAGGCCAGCCTGAACTGCACAGTGAGACCCTGTTGCAAAAAAAAAACAAAAACAAAAACAAAAAATAAAAGGAACCTCACCAAATGAAACATTAAATTTACATGTTGAAGAGTTAAATACTTTCATCTAGCCAGTGAAATAAGTTAGAATTCAATAATAAAAAGGCCAGACGGAGCCAGGCGTGGTGGCTTATGCCTGTAATCCCAGCACTCGGGAGGCTGAGGCAGGAGGATCATTGCGAATTTCAGATCAGCCTAGGCTACAAAGGGAGCTCAAGGCCAGCCTGAACTGCACAGAGACCCTGTCTCAAAAAGACAAAAAAAGGACCAGACAACTCAGCCAGATGCATGAACCATGCCTATAATCTAAGTACTTTGGGAGGCTGAGGCAAGAGAATCAAGTACAAGCCTACTTTGGGCAACTTGGCAATTTGGTGAAATTCTGTCTCAAAATAAAAAATTTAAAAATGGCTAGGGACCTAGCTCAGTGTAAAGGCTCTAGGTTCAAGTACCAGTACCAAACAAAACAAAGCAAAACAAGACCACACCACCATCTCCCAACCCCATTAAAAAAAAAAAGCCAGTGAGGTAGGTGACCAGAAAGGCCCTGGGTTCAAGCACTAGTATGGGTGTGTGTGTGTGGGGGGGGTGTCTTATAGGATGCACCTCAAGTGTTGCTTTTAATAGAGACCTGTAGCCTTAAATACAGAAACAAGAAAGATACAGATATCAAATTCAAAAGAGAGCAAAATAGCAGAATAAATCAAAGGAAGTAATGAAATCAGAAATAAATTTGTGGTATCTATGAAGGCAATTATCAGCCAGGAAAGTAAACATTTAGATACAAGAGTATAGGCAAATAAAGCCAGTACAGCCCTATAAACAACAATAAAATCAGGGTCTACTCAGATAGCAGATAGTGGATAAAACCCATATGTTCCACAAGGAAAGCATCCACTCTAATGGTGAGAAAAAGCAAGACTCTAACTTGTATTAGTACTATGACCTTATTTTTTTTTTTTAATCAGTACCGAGGATCGAACTTACGACCTATGCTTGCAAGGCACTTATGCTGCTGAGCTAAATCCCCAGACCAACCTTACATTTATAAGAAAGACATGAACTTGTGCAAAAAGGCTGAAAGAAAATAAAAATGATAGCGATCCAATTCTCTTCTTTACTCTTTTGTGTTGAATGGGCCCTCCTATTAGGTGTGGTAATGCACACCTATAATCCTACACTTTGGGAGACTAAGGCTGGAGGACTGCAAATTTAAACCCAGCCTGAGGAATTTAGTGACTTAGTGAAACCCTATCTCAAAATAAAAAATAAAATAAAAAATGGGCTGGGGATGTAGTTCAATAAAAAGTCCTTTATACAATTTCCAGTATTGCAAAACAAACACACACCAGAAATATATCTTTCATAATCAGCAAGAAAAGAAATGTGACTCAAGATAGTTTGTCTAAGCTCTCAGCAGCCACCACAAACTGAAGGATGACTGAGGGGCAGCTCTCCACTCAGCCCCTCCGGATCACTCCTCCAGCCCCAGCCTGCTTATCCTTCACTAGCCACAGAGTCTCTTAGAAGTGAGGAGAAGATTCCAGATGGAGAGGCTTTGTCCTCCATCTGGATGCTCTGCACACATCCTCAGACCTCTGGACAACAGATAAAAGCAAAACCATTGTCCTTACCAGCCTCGGTCACCGTTTTAAACCAGTCCAGCAGCTTCTCCAAACAGGTGTCATCTGCCACCGCCTGGCTGGGATCTGCCAGAACAGCACAGAGAGCAGGGAGAAGGCGGGAGCATTCGGGGTCCATGATGAAGGCAGGATTTTCTGCACGGGAAACATGAGGGAACCTCATTCCTGGTTCCAGATCCCATTTGCCCTAGTTACAGATAATTCACGGTGAATCTACGGAACCTAGGCTTTGGTGCAGTGGGTGAGGAACACAGGTAAGTGCTGACTTAGCTGCAGGTGGGCCAATCAGGGGGCTGGGTTTGCGGTTAGCTTTGCGTGCCTAGTCCCAGGATTTGTTCCTGCCAGGTAAGCAAGGGCTGCATGAGTCGATCAGACAGCCAGCACTGCTCCCTCCAGGACCAGGGTACATCAGTCCCATGTTCGACCCAGAAGGTGGGGTGGGCTTCTGTCGCCGGCCCCCAGCTAGGGCATCAGTGTGCCTGTTCCCAGAAAGGCTATGCTCACGTAATTGTAGCCCTCCCGCGACTCCGCCTGTTTGAGGCTGCAGGCCCGCTCTGCGCCAGGCCCGAGAGTACGCACGGAGCCAGACGTGCCTGCCGCTGGCTGCGGGAACTGAACCTATCCCTACCACTGCCCACCCGCGGCCAACTGGCCTGTCCTCCGGACCAAATTCGAACTTCACCCGCTCACAACAGCCACGAAGACCACCACCCACTTTCCACTACCTCCTCACCCGAGCCTTCCAGAGCGTCTGCCGCAGCCCCGCCCCGCGCTGCTTCAAGTCCCGCCCCACGTCGCGGCGGCCCCGCCCCCACGTCGTCTCAGGCCTCCCTCCACGTGCCTCGGGACGCTTGCCGCCTCTGCCCCGCCCCAAGGCCTCCCGAAGCCCCGTCCCACTCACTCAGAAAGCGCCACCGCGGGGGCCGGGGAGGAAGAGGGTAGGGACGTCGGGCTTTAGGAACCCTAACATTTCAACTAGAGGGCGCTCTGGCTGCCTCTAGAGTTAAGACTTGGGAAAAAAAGTTCAAGCTCTGTAGAACTGGGAAAGGTGACACCAAACCTGTTGCTCGGACCTATCACTCCCCACAGGACTCAGTGGTACCGCCACAAGCAGCCAACCGAAGGAACTCCTTGGAGGCGGGACTTCTAGAGGAAGAGGCGGGGCTATGATCTGCAGGCGGAGCTTCCTCGGTTCAGATAGGCGGAAGGCAGCTCTGCAGCGTAGAGGCTGCTTGGTAGGTGACTGCTTTGGCCTTTTGGTTTTAGCATCTCAAAACTAAGCACTCATCTCTGTGCCAGAGGCTCTCAAAGCCCGCAGATAAACAAGGCTCGTTTCCTGTAGCACCGGATTTACAATTTTACAGCAAGACTTTGAAGCAAACACCAATTTTATATAGAAGGCAGAATTTCTGTGGATATTATAGAAATCAGTCTTTAATAACGTTGATGAGGGAAACACTTTGTACAGCTCCCTTTCCTGACTCTATGGGGCCCTCTGCCAGGCAGATATGACTCCTTCTTTGAAAAAGATTGAAACACAGGGCTGGGGATTTTCGCATAAGCGTCTGCTTTGCAAGCGCACAGTCCTGAGTTCGGTCCGCGGTACAAAAAAAAAAAAAAAAAGACTGAAACGCAGACAACTGCTTTGAACTTTCATTAATGGTAAGATAAGATGGTAATGAATGCTAATATTAACCTGAGTGGCTGTGGAGAAAGTCAAATAAAATAACTCTGCTAAATGCTTAACTTAAAGTACATGTAGGTGATTCTAGTGCAGCTCTCTGAGATTGAATGCTATTCCTATACCCTAAGAAAATCAGACATAGAGAATCTCATTCATATGTTCTCATAGCTACTGAGATGATCCGGCTTGGCTTTGAATAGTTACCACAGTTATGAATACTATACTGATCCACAATTTTTTATCTGAAACTTTGGGGACTAGCATCTTCCAGAATTGTGACTTTTTCAGATTTTAGGCATTATCTGATATACACACAACGAATAAGAGGTTACAACCCCAGCAATGTCTGATGTAGCACCTCTTGATCAAATGCATTATAGTTCTACAGTGATAAAAATATGTACACCAAAAGGAATAAGTAAACACAAATAGACGTAGCTCTGAGTTTTTCCTCCAGGAGTTGAGGTTAAGGCAGGTTTTGCCATCAAATTGAAGTAGAAGAAATAAGGAAAAAGCAGACAAGAAAATCATAACTAAAAACTGTACTTATAAGAAGAATGCAATTTTGGGCCTCAGTCAAAGTTATCTACGGCAATCTATATCAGCGTTACTTCTGTTAAATTTAGGCTACCAGACCCATAATGCCCAGAGTTTCTCAGGACATAGTGCATAAATTGGTTTAATTGAAAAAGATCAGAAACCTGATCTAAGAGTTTGGGCAAATCGAAAGATATGTTTAAATTACCTTTTGTAAAAAAAATGCTGAGTTTTTTTATACATGTAAAATGGGTTTCTACTCTTGGGTAGACTTTTTTTCAGGATTTCCACTATCTCAGTAGAAGCACAAATGTTCCCTCTTACAGGAAATAAGTGCTTCTTTATTTCTTTGAGTATGTATTTAAAAGTATGCTTTTAATTTTTTCTAACAAAAACTTTCTCGTGCCTATGGTTAGTCCTGAAAATTCTTTATATGTGAAAGGAGCCAGCGAACTTCCAAATATTCTACAAAAAGGGTGGCTTACCTCTGTTTCATAAACCGCCTTGGACTCTGTCTAGTGACCAAATGAATTGTGAATGGTTTTCAGAAGTTTTTAAAACTCAGAATCATAGTGCCAGGTGTGGTAATGCACGCCTGTAATCCCAGCGCTCGAGGCCAATCTGGACTACATGACGAATCTCTGTCTCAAACAAAAAAGTCACAGGTAGACACTGTCTTTATCATTAAGAGAAAGGGGAGAGGCCCTGGGGGAGTGTGTGTTGTGCAAGACAAGTTTTTAAGCAGGTGAGTGGCCTGGTGAGATTTGCCCTTTCTAAACAATTCTGGCAGCAAGTGATTTCTTCTGTTCCTTTTCGAATGCATCAGAGAACGTCTAAATAAAGAACCAAAACTTAGGACCAACTTCTACCTGGCACTGCAGTAGAGAGGTCCGAGGCATACGCGAGCTGTCAACGAAGCGACTTCCGGGTCAGCCTCCAGTTCCCCCCGCCCACCTTTCCTCCTCCCTACGGCAACCCAGACAACTCCTGCCATAGGCTCTGGCCAGACACTTTGCGCACGCGCAAATTTGCCAGGTTGGAGGGGCGGAGCCCCTGCCGGGCTGGGGTGGCGGTGGCGGTGGCGCGGTTGCTATAGCAGCAGGGAGTCTGGCGCCAAGGCTTGGGGCAGTCTGGCTAGCAGCGGACTTAGACGGCCGAGTCCCCCGCTGGGGCGGCCGGGCAGCACCGTAGCCATGAGTCTGGGAACGGCCTCGGAGACGGTAAGACACCGAGGTCTCCCTCGCGCTCTGGGGTGCTCTGGGGTCAGAGGTACGGGATGGGGGCAGGAGGCCCGGGCACAGCGATTGCTGCCCGATTGTTACCGCACAAGGCCGCCAGTATGTCAGCCGCCGTCGCGCTCCGGCCTCCAATTCCCGCCTGCGCTCGCGGAACTGCAGCTTCCTGGGAAGACTCCGGGACTCTGCCTCCCGCGAGCCTGCCGCCGCATCCAGTTGGTGAGCCGCGAGGACCCCTGCTCGCCGTCGGGTGCCACTCTGTCCCCGACCTGGGCTGTGGGCGGCCCGCGCGGGGCGCGCGTCTCTTCAGAGCGAAGGCCTCCTGTGTGATAGAAACTGAATGGGAACGAGCTGCGTTCCGATGGGGAAGGCAACGCAACGGGCGAGTAATAAGGTCATGCTAGAAAGTGGAATGTGACCCGGGAGGGCTGCTGTAGATCTGGGTCCCGGACAGCCTGCTTTGAGATGTTGTTCCCGTTCGCAGCTCGTAAATACCAAAGGCCACCGGCTGGGAAAGGCCTGGGATATGGAAGCAGCAGGTGCAAAGGGTTTGCCTAGCATGGAACAGTGTGATATGCTCCAGCAATTGCTGGCATCAGGCGAGGCGAAGGGAGGAAAGAGAAGGTGGGCATGAGGCTGGTGGCAGTGAAGCACCTTGAGTATATTTTTGCTTGAGGATGCAAGGGAAGCCAGTGAATGGAAGGTCCACACCCGTCACAGGGCCCGAAGGGCTGTACGAAGCCATGGTGGGGCCCTGTACTGCTGGCCAATTTGGAGCAGCTGCAGTCGGTACTTCTTCCTCGAGGGACCCAGATCCCATCTCTTCTGCAGGACCCGCCCTGAGTTACTGCTCCTTCATCACCTTCACTTCTACGCCATCAAACCCAGGGCCTTGCACATGCTAAATAAGTGAACTTCTGCGCACATGCTAGATAAGTGAACTTCTGCAGCCCTCCTCTTACTATAAGAACACTCCTTGTGTTCTGATTATGAAAGTAATTCATGCCCATTATAGAAAATTGGAAAAATTATCTGTAATCTGACTACCTCCAGAAAATCAGTTCACATTTGCTGAATTTCCTTCTACTATTTTTCTGTACAGCTTTTCCCCACACATTTTGAAAAGCTGAGATCATATTTATATTGTCTTGTAGCCTTTGCCATTTACTTTTGTTGGTACTTTCCAACTCCACATATTTATAAAAAATATGTAGTTTTAAGAATTCTAGCCCTATATTATTCTTTTTCCTACTTTTATTATTTTGAGGTTTTTTTCTCTTAGAAACAATGCTGCTATAATTTTTATGGGTATGTAGTATATATGTGGGCCCTGTTCTGAGTTCTAAGGACACAAGAACAGCTGAGATCCGAGGCCTTGATCTCTAGGGATTCAGTCCCCTGAAACACTCAGCCTCTGCACAGGCTGCCTAACTTGTGGTTCTTTTGCTGGGCTCGGATCTGTTTCCTTAAACCTGAAAGAACACTTTGAGGGCAGAGATTGCCAAGTCCATCCATTTCCCAGACTGGGAGCAGAGCATCTCTAGGCATACTTGTAAGGCTTTGGGAGCCCCTCCAGAGCACAAGGTGCTCATCCTCCTGGCTGTAAGCAGCCCCGGGACTGCAGTGCACTCTGGGGAGGTAGAGTGCCAGAGGGCAGAATCACTGGTGATTTGAGAGCCATCCAGGCTTGTGAGGGGTTCATGGTGTCCACGAAAAATGAGCAGAGCACTTAGGTGCTTTCGTGTCTGTCTGACTCTGCTTTGCTCTCCAGACCCCTTCCTAGCCTTGACCTAATCTCACATCACATGACATGAGAGGCCTTGGCATCTGCCTTCCACATTGGGAAGCTGGCAGAGGTCCTGTCCCCTTGGAGCGTGGGCAGGTCCTTGGTTCCCAACATTGCCCGCAGACTCTGATTCACTGTGAACACCATCAGCTGTCTGTTTTCCCTTTAAGAAACTCCAGCAGGTAGAGTTCCCAGGAGCTGAGAATTAAAACTGAGGGATGTGTTAGGCCAAAGAGGCAGGGCTGTAGGGTTTGACCTCCCAGGAAATCTTGGTGTTGCTATACTTCTCTGCAGATTAAAGAATAATGGTGATGTTCATCCCTCTCCCACCTCCATGAAATTGAAATTATTTCCAGAATACCCATGAATGTCAGTCTTCCTTTTCATGCACGTACATGTTTGTTTATTACTGTTCTGAGGAATGGCCATTTGACAGCAGAGTGTGAATAGTTGTCAGTTTTGACTCCGTCTAGGTAGCCAGGCCCCTGTGCCTGATGGAACTTTTCAGGTTTTCAGGTCTCCCATTCATTGGAAATTATTTTGGTATCAGGTAAAATGTAAGCATCTAACTCAGTCTTTTTCTAAAGCATCTTTGAAATTTTTCTGATGCTGAAATTGGAACCCAGGAGTTCAGGTGCTTCATAACTGAGCTACATTCCCAGATGTAAAACATCTTTTATTGAAATATGACTCTCATGCTATAAAATTGACTCATTTAAAGTGTGCAACTCAATAGCTTTAGTATAGTTAAAGAACATCTTTTCTTTCTTTCTTTCTTTTTTTTTTTTTAATCTTTTTTCTTTTTATCGGTACCGGGGATCGAACTCACGACTGCCTGCTTGCAAGGCAAGCTCTTATGCCGCTGAGCTAAATCCCCAGCCCCAAAGAACATCTTTTCATATGTTAGTCATTTGTATATCTTCTTTGGAGAAATATACAAATTTTTTGCCCATTTTAAAAATTGGGTTGTAGGCTAAGGTTGTAGCTCAGTGATAGAGCATTTGCTTAGCACATGAAAGGCCTGGGCTTACTCCCTAGCACTAAAAAAAAGTTGGATTTTCTTTTTATTATTGAGTTGTAATTATAAGAGTTCTTTATGTATTCTGTATACTAGCCGATTACCAGATATATCATTTGCAAATAATTTCTGCCATTCTGTGGCTTGTCTTTTACTTTCTTGCTGACCTTATGTTTTAGCTACTTTCTCGTTGCTGGGACAAAATATCTAACACCCATAAGTTAAAGGAGGTAAGATTTACTTCACCTCAGAGTTTGTAGAGGTTTCAGTCCATAGTCAGCTGACTCCAATGCAAGGCAGCATGGCAGAGGAGAAAGAGCTCATGACAAGACAGGCAGGAAGCAACAAAACTTCCTTCTTTCCCTTTTTATTCCATACAGGCTGTAAGCCTATTGGTTGGTGACGCCTACATCTAGGGTGGGTTTTCTGTGTTCAGTAGATCTGTCACTCACATCTAGAGCTATGCTAAACCAATCAGTATCACTGTATCAAAGTAATCCAGTATCACGCCCATTATCTAGTCACTCCCATGACACCTCATTTTTTATTTTTTGTAATAAATTGGTATTCCTTATAGAGCAAGAAGTTTTTAATTATAGTTTTGATACAGTTTAGTTTACCTTTTGTTCTTTTCATTCTTTCTCTTTTTTAGTTCCTTTATTATAAATATATATATATATATATATATATATTTTTTTTTTTTTTTTTTTTTTTTGGATACAAGGCCTCACTATGTAGTTCAGGCCTACTTTAAACTCACTATGTACCCTAGGCTAGCCTCAAATTTCCAGTGATCCTCCTGTCTCAGCTTTCTGAGTGCTAGGATTGTAGGCATACACACCATCCCCAACTCCTTTTACACTACTACCTCAATTTAAGAGCTTAATTCCAAAAAGTGGGGCAAGGTGGCATGCTCCTGTAATCCCAGCACTTGAGAGGCTAAGGCAGGAGAAACATTTGCAAGTTTGAGGCTAACCTGGGCTACAAAGTGAGCCCAAGGCCAGCCTGAACTGCATAGGGAGACTCTGTCTCAAAAAGACAGGAAAAAAAAAAAAAGAAAAGAAAGAAAGAAAGGATCTTAATTCCAGAGTCATGGGAAGAACTAAATTCATGAACCAAGGCACTACTGTATATCTAAGGAACCACTCCCTGACCCAAGGTCATACAGATTTGTGTGTTTTCTGCTATGAGTTTTATGGTTCTAGGTCTTAAATTTAATCTGTGATACATTTGAGTAATTTCTTTTGTATATTCTGTAAGGGAGAAGTTCTTTTGCATGTGACTGTCTGCTAGTCTCAGCACTGACTATCCCAGCACTGCTTTTCTTTTCCCCAGTATAGTGTTGCATCCTTTTTAAAAATCAATTGACCATAAATGTGAGATTTTTATTTCTATATTGTTGCTTTATTCCGTTGGCCTACATATCCATTATTACATCAGTATCATTTTGATTACTATAACTTTGTAGTAAGTTTGCAAATGAGAAGTATGAGTCCTGAAACTTCTAAGATTGTTTTTTGCTATTCCATTTCCATATGAGTTTTTTTTGTATTTAAGGAGGAAAAAAAAAAAACAGAAAAAGGGTACAAGTAATACAAAATTTAAAAAATAAACAGTAAGAAATCACTAGTTAATAGATTACATATTTTCATCTTAGAAATAGTTGTTCAAGTTACAAAATTGAAGCATATAAAGTAGTCTTTCTTCTTCTTTTTTTTTTTTTTTTTTGTCTTTTTCATTTTTATCGGTACTGGGGATCGAACTCACGACCGCCTGCTTGCAAGGCAGGTGCTTATGCCGCTAAGCTAAATCCTCAGCCCCATAAAGTGGACTTTCAAACAGTGAAAGTGTAAACAGTTTTGTTCAGTGATCCAAAAAAACTCAGTAATATGGTTTCTATCTTATACACTTAAACATATATGCAGTTTTAACCTTTAGAGCACTTTTCTTTTCTTTGACAATGACAATTATACATTTTGAGTTTTATTACTCCCACAGTTCTTATTACTTTTTTTGAAGAGAGTAAAACCAAATGCGACATATCAGAACAGAGTCAGTCAAATCAAAAGGATGGACATAATAGATAATGTAAAAACAAAAAACAAGGTGATCAACAATGGTTACCATACTGCCTCTTGCTATTTTAAGAAAGATTGCCAGTTATAATAAAATTGAACAAAA